TAATTTAAATAAGACATAATTATTTTTGCATCACAATAATAAATACTATGAATTTTGTTCCTGATTAAACTGTAGGAACACATTAAGTGACCATCAAAAATGAGTGAAGAAAGTCTATGCCTGGAGCGTATTCCATTGCGATCATTAGTGCCTTGTCCTCAAGGAAGTTTTCATAATACTCAATTATGTTGGGGTGGCTGAGTAACTTGAGGACTTGGCATTCATTCTGGGCTGCGAGACGTTCATCACGCGTCATCTGCTCGACTGGGATTTCCTTCAAGATCACCAGCGCGCCATCAGTGCGCCTGCGACAAAGGTGCACTATCCTGTGACAGATACAGAAATCAGGATACAAGTGGATTTGTTACATTCACAAAATGTAAGAGTTTCAAGTTTAACAGCTGAATTTAAAGTTTTACGGATTCAGTTGTTCACTGTCTATTTTATCATGCTCTTAAAATGAGCACTTTGTGTGGAAATAGCCTAATATACTTTAAAAGAATAATCTTAAGTATAAACTTGAATACAATTTCCCAGACATGATGTAATTGCAAGTTAATTGCAAATAAATGAAAAATTTATTGTAGTTTAAACTGACAGTAAACGCAATTAGATCAACTTTAGCGTGCTTTTTGACCCACTTAAGTAGGTCTTAATTACATCTTTACATGTAATTTCATAATTATTTCTATTGCCTTTGAAAAATGTAAAAGCCTACTGCTGAATATATATACATTATTATAAGTAGGCTATTTATGTGCAAACAGAAATACAGTCATTATGTCATAATGACATTACTATTGAAACTTGCACTTGTAATTACACTTTTGTAATGAAGTTGCAATTTAAATTAGTTAACTTTAAGTGAAATATTAGCTACTGAATAAAATACTATAGAGTTAAAATTATAATTAAGTATTTTACATGTGCTTTAGTGTTAGTCAACACATCAAAATAAGTGTAGGCCAACTTCTTTAAATCACGACAAAATATGAATAAAACAGAAAGATTTCAAATGTAATTTAAAGTAAAGCTTTCAATTTGATGTTATTAGTCCTTAAAGTGTACTCTCATGACTCTTAAAAGTCTTTTAAGCTTGAAACTTTGAATTTTGAGTGAAAATTTCACACAGAACCCATACTTTAACTTACAAGCCAACGTGAGAAAGTTTAATTTCTCAGTAAATTTTTACAACCTCTGTTTGCTACCGGACATTCCGGTTAAGGTTCCAAATTACGACAGAAATTCCAATGAGAACGCTGTAAACATTGCTGTTTTGACAAGCAAATTTAAAAAGAGTAGGGCGAGCTATTCATTGCTCAACAGTTCTTTTCCCTTTGAAAGGAAAAGTGTCGAAATCTTATTCGAACTCTTAATGCAATTGTAACTCGTTGAATAGGGTGATAATGGCTCTGTAACAACTATACTGATGGAATGCGGAAACGCGAGAAAGTGATGCTCCGTGTGTTCCGTTAGCTCGCGCTCTGATTCTCTGAGGAGCGTTGCAGATTTGAAGTTCTTCACAGAGTTTCTCAGGTAAGTTTTACCGAGTTCAAACTCGTCAAAAGTCATTTTGTAAAGCAGCTAGCTCAAACAAACAAGTACACGTCACTAAAGCAACGTTTGTAGTTGTATTTACCCGAATGCTCCTCTCCCGACCACTTTTATCTTCTCGTACTTCTCCATGTTTGCTGGATTCTAAACGCGCCCCGTCACTAGGCGACACTTCCTTTACTCCTACAGAGTTCTAGAGGGGACAAAATACAGCAAGTAAGCAAGAAGAACTGACTCTGACCCCATCATTTTGTCAAGGGTTATGCTAATCAAGGATGTGAACACATGAGGGGACCAAATATAGTCATTTATGATTGAACTACTGAAAGTGAAGTACTGAACGATCTCCTCAAAGTTTGTTTTTTACAGCTGACAAAGTAAGCATTGACAGAGAGTGTCTTAATAGTGAAGTTTGTAATCAGCTCTGTGATGCTGAATGGACTATTCTGAATGCTGTCTCTCAAAGCTAGAGAGAAATAATCTTCAGGACAAGTCCTGTCAGTGAATCTTTCCTCAGCGTCTGCACAATTAATAGGCTTCATTTTATGCTTTGTAAGCCTATCTAGACCAGATTTTTAAAGTGGGTTGAATCACAGATTCTTTTCAACTCCACATAATACAGGTAAAACCAGTAACTGTGACCAGTGGACTAAAGTTTAGACTGCCTCTCCACCACCTGACTATTATGGTGTCAACTTCATTCTCAGTAAGAAGATTGATCAGTGGTGATTTGATGGCCTACAACTGAGACATATTTAAAGTATGTTTTTGGTGACCTAATGACTTTTTGGCCTGATTAGACCTTAGCTAGATGAGAGGTTTAAATTTCAGAAACACATAAAGGACCCTTGTTTGCAAAATGTTTCTTGTTTCTTTTACTTAATCTTTTAATTAATAATAATTTAATATTATTTCATTTTAATTTTGTTTGATGAAATTTTAAAGTGATAGTGTTTTTTTATTTGAAGAAATAATTGACTCCAAAATTTAACTTCTTTTAACATCTTTGTAAACTGGTATGACTGACTGAAAAGGAGATATTTGTAGCAAAAGTCCAAAAAGTAGCAAAAAAAAAAAATCAATTCCTTTAAATAAAATAATTATTTTTGACACATTTCACAGCTGTTCACACTTTTCATGCTGACAAAGTTTCGTGTTATTTTAGTATCATTTATATCCTATTATAGGTTTTGTTTATATTTTTAATTATTTTCATATTTTCTGTTTTCATTTTAGATAAAGTTTTAGTCATTTTATTTTGTTTTGTTTTGTCTTTTTTATTAATTTTTTTATTTGTCTATAGTTTTTTTATTATTTAATTGCAAGTAATTATTTTTTTAATGGTTTTCGTTAGCTAGTCAGCTTTTAGTTAGTCGTGGTTTTAGATTTTTTCAATTCAATATATATTTTGAAACAATCCAAAAGCACTTCATAAAGGTACTGTAATAGTATCAGAACAGTGGAAAAGTAGTAGTAGTAGAACAGTAGTAGCAACAGTGACAGTAGCTACAGATATTAATAGCTATTTGAAAAAGAATCAGCAACGCCTGTGAGAATAAGTTTCGACAGTGCCCTTTCGGCTCATATTGTTCTCTTTAATTCTCTTTAAAAAAAAAAAATACAGTTCCGGTGAGTGTGAACATTGAACATTCCTGATCACTGACTGTCACATTCTAAGACAAGAAACATTTCAAACATGGATTACACTGTAGTTTATGGGATGAACCAAATATGCAACCAAGCTGGTTCTAGAAAAGTAAAAGCAGTGTTTCAGAGCAGTGAAGACAGCAATAAAATATGTTACAGCCTAAGATTCTTTTTGTTTATAAAGTTCATAATTTTGCTGTATTATATGACTCATATTTTCAAAAAAGTATCCATGTCATACAAATAACTCAGGCTGAGCACCACTGACCAGAATGATTGCATGGAGGAGGACTACAAAATACATTGACTGATGTGAAGCAGCCTTAGAGGTTTATGCTGTCATGCAAATTACTGGTTAGTTTCTCTGAGAATTTCTGTAGTATCAGCCCTGAGCAGTTTCTCAGTTCTCACGCTTCAGTGAGAATCAAACAGATTTACAAAATTCAAAGACATACAAGTTTGCTACACAGACTGTGGTTAATCTGAATGAATTCGACTGAATTAACACCAATCAAATGTAATATCTTTAATAAACCTTTCAACTGGAGAGTATTCATCATACTAACACTTGTTTATAACATAAAGTATAAATCTGAATAAATGTGCATGTAGTGATGTAGCATATTAATTCATAAACATATGAAAGTGGCAATAACCAGAACAATGAGACTGTGGTTTAACAGAATAAGAAGTTGTTTGAAAGGTGAAAAGTTCACAAAATGACCTTTTCAAATTTGTTGAAGCCTGACACATTAAAGTGCATTTTTATGTGTGTACAGTCTTGACATTTAAATATTAAATTATTATTTAAATATCTCAGCTTCAGGCTGCCAGAATATTAGAAACTGCAAATGTAAGTGACTGATTAATGAAATAGTTGCATATAAGCAATACAACATTATGTAAAATAATAATAATTGTTTTGAAGAAATAATGATCTATTACATAGAAAAAGGAATTACTTATGAACCTGTATGTTAACTGAATATGAACTGCATGTCCTATTTTTTGCAGAGTCATCATGATTGATAGTCCATTGCAACACATACTCCTACATGATATTTCATAACACAGAGATATCAAATTTCATGTGATCTTAAGAAGGAACTAAGTGGTTACTGAGAATATTTCAAACATATTTTTCAATAACTGAGCAGGTATTGTAGATGTAATAACAAGCGACTGGCATTTCCTCAAGTTCCGAAGCACTGATTACTCAACATCCTTCATTCAGCTCAAGCTAACCTTGAGACTTGTTAAAAGACTAAGGTTTGGAACACCTACGCATAAAGACTGCTCTATACACCAAGACAAAGAATCAAAGAATTACATAGGAGAGATTTGACCTTCACTGATTGTTCATTTGATTGTTCAGATGTGTGTACAATAAAGAGAATAAAGAGAGAGAAAGGACAATCTGATGTTATTTCACCACACTGTAACTGATTTGGTCTTGAAGAGCTCCTACCATGACGGGTCATTTTAGGATGTTTTTTTTTTTCTGTGGTTGTGTGCTGCCCTCTTGTGGCTGTTGGGGGGAAATTCAATGGAATCAATGAAATTCATTTTTTACCACGACACAAGATTACAGAATGATATTGAGGAGGTTAAACAATTGTGAATGGTTTTTGTTAATCTTTTAGAATGTGTGAAAAGTTTTTGCATTTCACTTAAACTCATTGGACTGTTCTTGAAGGTGCACTTACTTAAGTGCACATGTTGAAATAAGATGGGTTGAAAGTGTATATTGCCCGTGGGAAACACTGTATAGTTCAGGGTTAACGTAATTCTAAAAGATGCGACTCTGGTGGGACTCGAACCCACAACCTTTGAATTGCCTCCTTCATTAATCTAGAAGTCCAATGCGCTATCCATTGCGGCACAGAGCCCGCCGACACAGTTGCCTGGAACTCGTAATAGCTTTTGGCGTCTAAAAGGAAAAACAGGCCCTTTCTGTACAAATGAAGCCCGGTTAAAAATGCGGAGGTACTGTCACTTCTGTCTGTCCTGTCCAAGAACGAGCCCAGCAGACCACAGTCAGAGGGGAACACTGAACCCCCAGAAGATCTTTAGCCTACGTCTGTCGAAATGGATTGCAACACGTGGCTGACGTTTTTCGATTGTTGTTCATTCCTAGAAAAGCACACATTACATAAGGCACCGCTGGAATTCAAACCCAGGATCTCCTTTTTACTAGACAGGCGCTTTAACCAACTAAGCCACGGCGCCGACCTACGCGAGTATTCGCGGGGGAACCCCTTAAAGAAAAAGAGCTTGAGAACAGTTTGTTTGCGAACTGACTGGGGATACAATCTCAGAGCTTGAACCTGGACATTGCAGAAGAGAATGACAATAGAAGAAATCGCATCCCTCGATTGCTCTTTCCCTTTTCACCTTTATTGTAATCACATGGGCTGCGTGCTGCCTCTATTCTATAAATTAAAATATATATGTATAATCAGTGTTGGGGGTAACGCATTACAAGTAACGCGAGTTACGTAATCAGATTACTTTTTTCAAGTAACTAGTAAAGTAACGCATTACTTTTTAATTTATGTCTTTAAAGTGTTTTGTTAGTTTGGTGTGTTTCCTCGTTTTGATGTCGCCACGTCTCAGTGCTTTTATGAAGAGAGCGCATCTGCGCACCTTTCGGACAGCGCATCAAGAACCGGGTTGATCGGGTGCTCGGTACCACCGGTAATGTTTTCATTTTTTTAGTACCGACTTGGTACCGAAGTACCGGGTCTTTTGACAACACTACTCTCTACTGTTGACAATCAATGCAATGAGTGAGGAAGACCACACAGACACAACAGATGTTCCCTTTCAGTCAGTCACATTCGACGTTACGTCAGTCGTGACTGACGAATTGGGCGTCCAGACTTGTGGAATCTCCACTTGTGGTCCCTGGACGGGACTCGGAGGTTCTAGGTGGGCTACCTCCAGTGGTAGTAAACACCATCATCCCAATTCGTCAGTCACGACTGACGTAACGTCTCCGTTCCCTCCTTCAGGGAACGAGGGTTACACAAGTAACTGAGACGTTTTCTGCCAATAGTACTTTTTAAACATTGACCAGTTTAGACCATTACTAGCAGGCTACAAGCAAACAAACACTTATTACAAAAAGGGACATAAACCCAGGGAGAAGGATGGCAGGATGGATGGATGGATGGAATGGAGTCTGCGTTGCAGTGGTACCCCGCCATCAATGTGCTTACTCTTTCACATTGACATTAGTTCATGGATTGGTTCAGATCATACTTCTGCCCAGAGTGGTGAAACATGGTGACTTCCACTCCTGGAAGTGGAGGAACATCTGTCTCTGGTGCATTCTGCACTGGAGGAAACTGGGTTGTGACATGGTGAGTGAGGACAGCTTCTCACTGCTTGGTTCATTCATGAAAGGTGTGCAGAGCCAGTACGTTTTGCAATGGGACAATATCTACATTAACGTGTGGAGAAGATGCAACAATCTTAGCAGAGATTCACAAAAAGACAATACAAAAGATTTACAGAGCTTTGACATATCAAATGTGCAACAACACATCAGCAGCACTTTTCACAAAATGCATTCTTATGAGCCCATTAGAGGTTTAAAAGTTAGATTATAGCCTACCATAGGAACATAAAGTTCTATATTTATAGAATAAAAGCATAATAAAAATAGAAATAGTACTACAATACGGTAATATAAACTACTCTAACTCACACTTTCAAACGTGTAGATTTTAAGTAAAGATTGAAAGTGTTGTCGGCAGCTTATGTTATCGGCAGCTTATGTTATCGTCAGGGTGAAAAATGTCACCCCTGAAGCACTTTATTACCTGAATATAAACCTCCTTGTCAGCCTTGTTCATGCTTTGAGGAAAACTCCTGACAATGTCTTCTGTGATACTTGCCTACTCTAGTGTGTTGTGTGAAAGCTTACTATTAAGCAAACTATCTGCAGAACAGTGGAGAAGAACTGATGACGTCTCAATATGGCGCCCTCTGGTGTCTTAGAAGAAACAACACGCTTTACTGCACAGCCTTTTTTTTCTGAGCACTTTTTTGCGCTTTTTTTTTTACGAATATAGACATACATACAAAACAAATACAAGTAAACACAGATAGGTATTGCCAGGGTAACAAACAAACCAACCAAACAAAAATAAATAAATGAACACCTTACAAACACACAAAAAGGAAGAATACATAAATACAGTTTTCATAGATAGAACTTTGACAGAACTTTGGATAGTTGCCATATACTTGTCTAAATCAACTTTGAACAATGAAAAGAGAGGTTAAGAGCTAGTTATGAACATGTAGTATATAAACCTACTGTAGTATGGTGCTAAGATTAAATCAGTTATAAAAGCTATTTTCTGTTGTTATTTTTTTAACTAATGATGAATTAAGGATTACACTCAGAACAAAGTATGACAAACATGCCATCTAGATTTTTTTTAATGTTTTTTGAAAGAAGTCTCTTATGCTCACCAAGGCTGCCTTTGTTTATTTTTTATAGGCCTACAGTAAAAACTGTAACATTATTAAGTATTATTAGGCCTACAATTTAAAAGAAATATTCTCTATTTTAATATAGCCTATTTTTAAATAGAATTTTCATCAGCCATTACTCCACTCTTCAGTGTCATCATTCAGATATCATTCTAATATGCTGATTTGCTGCCCAATAAACATTTCATATCATTATCATTGTTGAAAACAGTTAATATTTCTGTGGAGACATTTTTTTGGTTCAGGAGACTTTGTCAAATAGAGATCAAAAAATAGCATTTCATTGAAATATAACTTTAATATAAATGTCTTTACCGTCACGTGCATCCTTTCGGAATAAACGTATTAGCCTAATTCATTTCTTATATTTATGTAATAATATAATAATATAATAATAATAATAATAAATGTACGCAGCCCATATTGAGAACAATTTTTCTAAACTCATTTCGAAACACAATATGCTATATATATTCATGACATAAAAATCAATTTTCTTGCTAATCTGCAGCGTTTGCGAGCTTTAGGCCTACCAACAAACCCGGGCATAACATCAGTAATACCACAGTATTAAAAGATAAGTACTGTAACAAGCGTATTATATCTGCTGTGAACAGTCAAAACGCTGGGGGCTGTAGGGGGCGTTTACTATCCCTCTTTCCTGGTTTTGGTCGGGAGAGACGGGGGGGATTGGACTGGAGACGAATCCATCTGTATGCAGCTCACAGCGCTTCCGTCGGTCGTTGTATCCTGCCGTTTTCTTCAGAAACTTGGAAACTGTACGCGATGGATGAATGCTAAAAGCGCCTCATACCCCCTCCTTTTTTTGCTTTTCCTTTATATTTTCCTTTCCTTAAAGGCGTTTCAAACGTCTTTGTCTCAGGAAACTAGCGCTTTACATTTACAGAAACAACGTCTTTAGGTAAGAAGCACACGTTTGTTTGTAGCAACAGAGTTACTGTGTTACGAAGCACGGATTGAGATCGACTAGAAAGGATGGACTGTCGTTTGTTCTTAAAATGTGCTGTTGAAATGTTTATGTACGTCATACTAGTCATAAAACTACTATATTAATACTTATATTGTTAATGTAATCATACACGTGTATAAGACGCACACATTGCACCAAAAGTAGATAAAAAGAGGCATCACAAAAAGGTTTAGCCACAAATTAGGGGTTTTTCTTTGTTCTCAGATTTACTTTGGGATTAGCAGATACAGATTAGTGAGTCATCACCCATGCCGCTCTAATGACCAAGTAGGCAACTATTTAAACTAACCCGTTCCTACATGTTCATGACTGTTGCATTAACACACAAGTAACATGCTAAACTGAAAGATAGGTCATTATTTTATTCCTGCAAGTCTCTAGCTAGAGCCTCATCCTGACCAGCCATTACTCATTCCTTCCTGGTGGGCCATGTTACAAATGCCAAGCTGTGATTCATAACTTTGTGTTTTTCCTGTAGAAGCATCATCATGAGCGTACTGCCCCCTGTACGGAAAGACCGCATAATCGGCCAGCTTCCTAAGGTACATGTTTTACACACAATGCACTGATGCTCAAGGTATTGTTTGTTCCGAAACCCATCCAAACCAAACCATCTGAAATCCATTTCCTCAACTGAGTGTTAATATTCACTCCTGTCGTAGTGCTTCAACAAAGGTGCTGCTTTGAACACAGAGGATGAATTCAAAAGCAAGGTGAAGACGGCCTGTCAGCAGCAGAGGACAGGAACTGTGGGGTGAGATGTTAGCTTTTGATGAATCAGTGGTTTCGGGAGATTTTCAGAACTGTTTGGATGGATTATCCAGCATTGTTTTATCCAGTGCCTTTTCTCGTTTTTGTCCAGTAGGTTTAAGATCTCCAAGGTCATTGTAGTGGGTGATCTGGCGGTGGGGAAAACCTGTCTGATTAATAGGTGAGCAAATCTGCAAAGTTAACCGGTTCATGTTTAATAGCTGTATCAAAGAATTCAGCTTGCTTTTTAGTTATTGTTTGGCTTAATATAATAATTTATTCTGTTGAAACTTTTTTTGTTTTTGTTTTTAGATTTTGTAAAGATGTCTTTGACAAAAATTACAAGGCCACCATTGGTGTGGACTTTGAAATGGAGAGGTTTGAAGTTCTTGGGGTCCCTTTCAGTTTACAGCTGTAAGTGAATTCTATGACAGTTCAACTATCTATAATAAACGAGTCATTTCTATAGTTATTTCAAATAAGTTTTTGTTTAAATTTTTCAGGTGGGACACTGCAGGACAGGAGAGATTTAAATGCATTGCCTCTACATACTACAGAGGAGCTCAAGGTATATGACTCAGCAGAAAATAATATTAAATAATGCAAATAAATATATAGTTTTTAGTATATTGTACAAGTTGTGTCTAACAATAGTTAATTTCAATATACTATAATGTGTAAAATCTGGTGATAGTAATAAAAGTATAATTATTGAGTAATTAGATCATTAAATGTAATGTTTTTTAATTATTATTTAAAAAATATATTATTTTTTAAAAGTACATATTTTTACCTTTTTTTTTTTTTTACCTTTGAGGTATTCATATTCTTTTCCCATTCCTGTTTTACAGCCGTAATCATTGTGTTTGATTTGACTGATGTGGCTTCACTGGAGCATACAAGGTAAATGACACCATCATTATAATTCTGCCCTCTGGGTTAACAAATACACAGCATGCTTCACACATTGAAATGTATCGTCCTCTTCTAAAGGCAATGGCTAGAGGACGCAATGAAAGAGAATGATCCTACCAGTGTATTACTCTTCTTGGTTGGCACAAAGAAAGATCTGAGTGTGAGTGACCATTTTTATTATTTTTAATTGACATTATACTTACAATCATGGCCATGCATAATCCAGTACAATCTCCTTCCATATACTTTACATATTTATATATGTCCTACCAATGTGTCTTTCCTCCAGTCTCCTGCACAGTATACACTAATTGAGCAGGACGCCATTAAACTGGCAGATCAGATGAAAGCAGAGTACTGGGCTGTGTCCGCCTTGTCTGGTGAGTTGCTGACTAGAGAGATTGCTATAGTGTATGGGATTTGTAGCAATTTTGTGTAATGTATTACAAAGTCACAAAGTATTTTGTAAGCCCTAGATAGAAGTTGCTACTGTTTATGTTGTTTAAGGACTCTTTTTGTCACTGTAGGGGAGAATGTGAGAGAGTTTTTCTTCAGAGTGGCATCTTTAACATTTGAGACCAATGTACTGGCAGAACTGGAGAAAAGTGGATCTAGACGTATTGGGGAAGTTGTTCGTAAGTACATTAAAGATCACCCAAAAATGAAAGTTTGCTAAAAAAAAAAAAAATGTACTCCAAGATGTAGATGAGTTCTGGGGACAGATTTGGAGAAATTTAGCATTACATCACTTGCTCACCAATGGATCCTCTGCAGTGAATGGGTGCCGTCAGAATGAGAGTATAAACAGCTGATAAAAACATCACATATAAACAGCATGACTCCAGTCTATCAATTAATGTCTTGTAAATGGAAAGCTGTGTGTCTGTAAGAAACAAATCCATCATTAAGGCATTTTAACTTGAAACCAAAATGTCAATCCATAATTTACAACAATGCGCCCTCTAGTGAAAATGTTCATCCCCTGTTGTCCTCCCACATCACCACTTTTAGACTTTTAGACTGTTTTTCATGTAAATGGTGCTTGTTCTGTGCATATTTCTTAACTTTTTTTTTGCTGGAGAAAGCCATATTACGGATGGAGGACTTATAGATAGAGGATTTGTATTTTAGTCAAAAGCTAAAAATGTCTTAATGATGGATTTGTTTCTTACGAACACACAGCTTTTCACTTCACAATACATGAATTAGTAAACTAGAGTAGTGTGGGTTACTTGAGGATTATTGTGATGTTTTTATCAGCTGTTTGAACTCTCATTCCGACGGCACCCATTCACTGCAGAGGATCCATCGGTGAGTAACTAATGTAATGCTAAATTTCTCCAAATCTGTTCCAATAATAAAAAACAAACTCATCTTGGATGGCCTGAGGGTGAATATATTTTCAGCCAGATTTCATTTTTGAGTGAACTATTCCTTCAACAACATTATTTAATCCACTGGAATTTTATTGCATCGTGAAAAGAAGGTAATTATATTATTATTTCCCCTGCCTGAGTGACCTGAATTCATTAATAGAGAAAAGTCATTTCAGAGTTAGAAGTTATTACATATAAAAGATCATGAAGCAGTGATTTTCTATAGAATAAGATGCACTGATCGAGTGAAAAATTTAAGGGGGTCTGAATACTTTCCGTACCCACTGTATATATGATCATGTTTTCTTTGAATTTAAATGAAACTTTTTTTCTCCACACAGAAATCAACAGCAACTCAAATAACCTGTATGCAACTTCCAAGAAGAAACAGACCAACTGTTGTCAGTAAAGACTGGCCATGTAAAAATGCAATCATTTGCACCAACATATAATGGTACCAAAGCAAAACATACACACAAATGTACATGCACGTACATAGGGAGAATCTACTAGATAAGAAAAGTAGGATGGACAATATTCCAACTATGTGACTGTACAGAGAGCAGTGTGGTTTGTTATTCATAGGGTGTAACTGAATATCTGCTGGATGAAAGCAAACATTCCTTTGTTAGAAAACTTGAGGTTTGCATTTTTGTGGTAAAGCCGTATTCTGTTTTCCCAAGAGTTCTATGCACAATCATTATCAGTGATTATTACATTGTGTTAATTAAAAATACATTTTATTTCACATTATGCTTAGTTTACATTCAGTAGTGATTTTTTAAAGGTACACAGGAGGATCATGCATGAGTTGCACAAAAAGCAATAAACAGTGATAAATATATTTTTCTATATCAAAAGTCCTGTTTATTAAAAGGGTCATCTTCCTTGAAGTGATATAGATTTTTTTTATATATAGGTTCAAATTCTTGCTGTAAAGATTTTAAAAGTATTAGGGCTTATATACTTGGTTTTCTGTGATTGACATTTTTATTCTAAATAAAATGTTTTTCCTTAAATTAGCCATTTGTTTAATTATTTTAAAACCTCTCACGATAAATAAAATAGGTATTTTTCCCAAATGTGTTAATATATAATAGTAACACTGTTATTTTGATTAAATACTGATTTTAATACTGTTAATATTTTGATTAAATCTCTTTCATTTACATGAAATTCAGCATTATTGATTATTTGAGCATTTTCAAGTTAGTAATAAGTTAGAAATCTGAGCTACAACCTGATAGTGACCTCTAATGGTATTTTAGTGTAACAACAACAACAGACGTATTTATGACCAATATGACAAATGCATAAAACATGACAAATGTACTGCATCAAATTCATTCAAGCTTAGAGAGATTAGTCCTCACAATATCCATACCTCCACAAATTTCACATGAATATTTTATTCCCTGATTTCTTCATATTTAACCACTAAAGTTCTTAAAAGACTCCAGGTATTGACTGTCTATCTGAGATTGCAGCTCGTTTGGAATGCAGTGAGAATATTTATAGTTTTCCTTTAGCCACGTTCCTCCCTCACTGTTTTCAATGGCCACAGCGGCAATGCCTACAAAGAATAGAGAAATAATAGCACTAATTTTACCATCTTAATCAAGTCTACTGATAATTAATAAGTGAACAAGAGCTATTACACTCTCTCACAGAAAGAAGCTGTCCAAAACCCTTGTTTTGTATCTTGCAGCAACAAATATAACAAGAATTTCAATAAACTCTCACCAGTCATACTTCAGTTACATTATTTATTTTAATAGTTCCCTAAAGGCAGAATCAATATCAAAGAAAGATATAAAGGTTTCGGGTGGAGAGGGGCAGTGGATAAGTTCAAAATCTCTCAAAACATTTCTTTGCTTTTATTATATTAGCTGTTTTATGCTTACCTACAACAGTAGCTCCTTGATTCTCCACCAGTTTGATAGCTGCTCTCATAGTTCCTCCAGTCTCAATCCACTGGTCTACTATAAGAACCCGCAGACCTGAAGTACATCATAACATACCTATAATTTCCCATTTTGTGTTACTAAGAAGTAGATGTGCTATTAAAACATTTGAATACACATGGCTCTGCAGTCATACAGTGGGATTATGTAGTAAAATAGGACATCTGAGCTGATTGAAAATGTATAAATCACTGCAAACTTTACAAGTAAAAATTAATTTGATTGAGGTGTCTTTTAACTTTCAACTTGTCCTTTTCCATTTCAGTATAGCCCTCAACAACATTATCAACCATTATAGTGACAGTAATACATCAGTACCTGGCTTTAACACGTCAACGCGCACTTCCATCAGTTTCTCTCGTCCAGAGTAGTCGCTGTAGTCTTGAGTGCGAGTTTGAACACATAAGTGTCCTGCTTTTCGAATGGCCAAAAATCCCTTTCCTAAAGTTATGGCCACAGCTGACCCTGAAATTGCAGGAGAAAGTAAAAAATAAAATCCACAATGCATACAATCCATTTTTCACATGGAATAGACAATATCATTTAAGTTTATACATTTCATTGAGTCAGGCTTTAGAGATAGTCCCTAAGTTAATATCCCACTCTATATTTAGCCTGTTTGCAGAGGTGTTATATATACTGCAACATGTGAACTGAGCTAAAAAATACTCTCTTGAGTTCAGACTGTCTTGCTCCACACCAGCTACAAAAGAGAAAGTTTTATACCGAGGATGAAGCCCATGGCATCTATTCCAGCCACCAGGTCAATGGTCTCATTCTGGAATGGTTTGAGAAGATCTTTTACGCAATCTGACAGTGCCTGGATCAGTCAAGGGTGACAGAAAACAGTGAGCAGAGACTATAAACTAGAAAACCCATGGCAGTCAAACACATTCTAACACAGTCTCTATTATTCAGACATGGTAGACAGGTTATTTAAAAACGTACTGGGTCAAGTTTGACTTGCAACAAGAGCGATTGTTTACCTGAGAATTGCAATAGAGCCTTGATGGATCAAGCCATGCAAACTTTGGACCCTTTGTGTTTGGTGCCATAAGAGACAAGTACCAGCCCTCTTCTCTCTTTTGGGGAACTGCTAAAACATCCATTCTGGAAAGACCGTTAGACTTCTAAAAACTCACCCCGGTAACGGCGTGTATTTGGTGTCAAGTTCATGTAGTGTAAAGTGGGCGTTTTCATGTCTCTCCCAGAGTAATCGCTTAACCATAAGCCACAAGCCAGAGCTCTGGAGACTGTTTGCGTTTACTCAGTTACTGTGTCACTGTTAAACACAAGCATTTTTTTGTGTTCCCCCTCCCCCGCCCTTTTAAAGGGATATCCTAATGCGAACAAAACTGTAAATGTTATTCATTTTGATAATGACAAAATAACAACGCACGTATAGCCTACTCCGTTATATTTGTATGAACTGAAGTAGCCTAGTTCCAGGGATGACAAAAAGATTCTAAAAAGTTTTTCTCGATTCTAAAAACTTTTATGTTCGATTGTCTACACCACTCGTCAGGTTTGAGATAGCGAGTCAAATCAAAGAAGGGGGCTGAGCTGTCTTTGGCAGCAACTATGTTCTGCGAGATGTTTTTTAGAAAGACAGACAGACAGACAGAAAGAAAGAAAGAAAGGGCCCATAATGTCGGGTCAAGATATGTTTTAATAAATGCTCAGTAACGTTACGTTGCGCTACAGTGTGACTGACTCCTAGGACTAACCGGGGCTACATGATATCTATCCGCACTATCGTGGCGTGTCCCGAACCGGAGTGCCACATGAAGAAGAAATAATATCCCTCCGCGATATCCGCCGAGGCGCTGAAGTGACGCTGACAGCTGTCACTCCGTTTTTTACGCAGTGATCAAGCACAGGAGACAAGTAGAAATATGAGAGATTCAGAAAGAGTGAGGATTGCCTATAATACGTATTGTGTGCAGGTTTAAGATTCATCCTGATTCTTAACAAAAAATACATCTAACAGTCTTTTTTTTCAGAGCAAAGACGTGAAGTCAGTCATGAAATGTGTAGCAGTGAAGATAAGTAGCCTACTGTCCATTTGTGTGGGATAAGTGGCTTGCAAATAATCACAGTGAGCTAATTACAAAATTAGTCTATATACTGTAAAGGAGTGTAGGCCTACTGTAATGTGTATCCTTTATTTTGGGAGACATTCCATAGACGTAATGTTTTTTAAATTGTATTTTATATCCCCTTACCCTAACCCTACACATCACAGAAAACTTTCTGCTATTTTAGATTTTATAAACACTTCGTTCTATATGATTTATACGTTGTTCCATAATGGGGACAAAAAAAAGTTCCCATTATGTCAAAATTTACTGGTTTTACCATACTTGTGCATGGGGACATTTGGTCCACATAATGTATAGGGAATTGTAGGTAACACACACACACACACAAACCTAAATTTGTTTAAGTGGGGCCAAAATAAAGTCTTGTTATAATGTCATTGCATTTTTTCAAACATTTTGAATTTACCTGCGATAAAGAATACCAAGAGAACTTAAACATGCTGTAAGAACTTCTTATAGAAATCACGTAGGCCTACGTATATTGGAATACTTTGGAAGATTTTGGAAGAATTCACTCTGATGTTTTATCTGTATAGCCTACCGTGAAAATGAATTTCGATTAAAAAATAGCTATAGCCTATAACAATATACGGTCGTCAATACAAATAAGGTTAAGAAAGCTTCTACAAACCTTTAAGATGGAAGCATATGAATAGATATTTTATAATTACTGAATGAACGGCAGTAACTATACCATGGAAAATATATAGGGAACCCGATACAAAAAAAAAAAGCCTAAGCAGACGACTATAAGCGTCTTTATGTGCAAGGTGCCATGAGCCCGTTTCCACTGAATTGCGCCTCATTATGCAGGACTCGCCTATGCATCCATCCACAAAAGATCGAAATTATGATGCCATGGACCATTTTATTATTGAATCTTTTGGTCCTTTAGCCTGCGTTTTATTTTCTGCAGAGATTTCTCATAGTGACCTCTTGATTGAGCAGCTAATTTATTTCATTGTTTAGTAGTATAATACGGAAACAGGGTTCCTTTTTGACTCATATCCGAAAATCATGTGAAATTTAGGACAATGGATTCCTCTGTACATCAGATATGAGCAGTCATGCAACGTTTTATGTTTTCATACCTCAGGCTGTAGTATTTCAGATTTATGTTCCAAGAACTGATGTGCTATTGTAGATTAGAAAAATTTTAAAGAAAGGGCAGTGTTTCTAAATCCTGGCAAAAGTTTTTAATGAGTAGCCTATTAAATTAATACTACATCGGATTGATTTTCCAACAATGTCACATGTTGCCTCTGGTGATTTTACATCATTTGTTTCCTCCCCCACCAATCCGATTTCTTTGCCAAAGCCCACTGTTGGACTCAGTGGGGGCTCTTTGAAAGCCGACCATAAATATTTAGCTTTTGGACTTGCACATACTCAATTCCTGATTTATTTGGTTATTTTGTTAGTTCGTTGTTTGTACCCTTTTCAGCCAATTGTTAAATAGTCTGTTAATAAATAAAAATGAGTTAAAATAAATTTAATCTGGGATGGACAATTTTAATCATGTGAAATTTAGAAATACAGCACTGGAAAGTTACATATTTAATTGCTTGAAAGCAATAGCCACGAACAATTGCAAATTTATTTGCATATGGACAAGGACAAACGTGCGTTCTCTTCTCAAATGACTCTTTTTCATTTTACTGGCGCCTGCGTCTGTTAAAGTCCCAAAGTTAAGATCCATGTAACCATAGGAAAAGACACTGATGTTCAGTAACTGCATGGAGATCCTCATTGGTCTGCATTGAAAAAGCCCACTGTTCCAAATTAGGTCACTACCCATTCCTTTTGTGAAATTAGAATGCCCAATCTCGTTGGGTCGGAAGAATCACCCCATCTCTTGTTACTATGGAAAGCGCCAAAGGAACCTCCTCCTTGCTGCGTCACCACAAGTAAATCTCGAGGTGTGGGGAGAGACGGGGTTACTTGCGGTCAAAACACACATAAGCCTATCCATTACACCCTACATTCATTATGTAGGATTACAAATTCCGGTGCGCGTGCACACAACACACACGGCTTGATTAAAAGAACCTAAATTGAAAATAGTTAAGAAAAAACTACAGTCCTATTGTATTTGTAGACATGATGTAAAGTTTAGATTGTTTTGAGGTAGCCAATGACTTTCAGGGGTCGAAAGTCATTTATTTATTTAAATATATATTCTACAAGTATTCTGATTCAACGCCCCTAGCGCAGTCAGCTTAACTCAAATAGGTTTGAAACAAAATACAAACGTTTGAGATATATTTGTGATGTGTAAATAAATAACAAATTGATAAATAATTACTCATTCTGACGCAAAGCTCTCAAACAGCGAATTATTGCGATCGTTACCTCTTATTTGGGAATGACTTGTAGGCTATTTTTTTTGTGGTTAATTAAACGTTGTTTGAAAACAAAGTATTTTACTTTTATCTAAAAAAAGAATAGCCTAGGCTATCTTCAATCTTTTCTTTGGAACGTCTTTGTAGAATTCATATAGGCCTACCTAAAGTTGCCTTAAATAGTCTACTTGTAGCCTAAATCTGTCTTATGCTTTAATGCCATGCATTTCTATTGTCCTAAAATGTAATAAAAACAAAAAATAACAATAATACAAAATGTGGTTTCGACAAAGCATTGGTTTACTTTTAAAAAGAAATAAAACAAGAATACGTTGCCTTGCAAAATTTCCCTCTCGCAAATCAGAGAAATGCGAATTTGCCTTTTGCAAATATATAAGGTCCACTGGAAATGAGAATCCATTGGAAATCATTGCACATTGTTCGCTTGCCACAGGGACGCCAGGAGGAGGAAACAGATGCACATTAGGGTATTCAAGTTCATTGGAGGAGGAAAGGGTTAATTAAATGACAGACCCCTCCCATTATTGACCGGCAATATATTAATACCAACGGCAGCCGGTGAAAGAAGCCGGTACTCGTTGGACAGGAGAGGCTGCGGTGCTGTCTGAGACTCTGTGGTGCTGAAAGTGCCTCCCACCGCGATGTGGTCTGTGTTTTTCGTGTTTCTGTCTTATTTAGACAGGAACTTTGTTAAAGGCGAATTCTTAAGCCAAGCTTCAGAGGCAGAAAAAGAGAGCAAAGAGCTCTTTTACATGCTCAACAACACTCTTTGCGCCAAAGGTTCGGTTGTGGGAGAGTATCACCTCCATCAGGTCACCGATGGGGCTGAAGAGGTTCGCTCTGTGCATGACTCTGAGGGCCGCCTCGTCGACTGCTCTGTGATCCAAAACGAAATGCAAGTTAAATCCTTCATGCACGTGTGCAGACTTGGGCTAAGAAACCAAATGAGCTCCGATTTGAAGGTGAGTTTGACTGGGGTGTCCGAAGCGAAGGCGAACTGTAACAAGCTGAAATCAAAAGGCGACAGGAATGTGACCACGACAACAAAACAAGCAACTCTGAAAGAGCCGAACTCTGATGCAGCGAACAATAAAAAGACGCGAACCAAGCGAGGCTTCACGTATCCCGGGACACTTTGGTGTGGTGCAGGGAACATCGCAGATCATTATGATCAGTTAGGTGAGTTGACTTTAATTCACTGACTTGAGTATTAGGTTTAATTTTCGTACTGTAGCAAGTGTTTAGGCATTTTGTGCATGTGATTTTTCCCCCTCAGGCGAATTCGAAGAGACCGACCAATGTTGTCGCGTTCACGATCACTGCCCATATGTCATCCATGCGTTCTCCTCCAATTATGGATACACCAACTTTAAATGGCACTCCCTTAGCCACTGCGACTGCGACAATGCGTAAGTTTGATGTAGTCCAGATATGAAAGTATGATAGATGACAGCAGCTTCCAGCAGCATGACATGCAATACTTCATTTAAAACTACTTTAAACACTTAAAAATCCTACTGTTGTCTATATGCCGTTTTTACAACTTTATATTAATTGTGAGACATACTTATTATGAGAATTTTAGTGTTTTTATTTTATTCTATTCATTTGATTGACTAAAATGTGTCTAAAATGATGGAAAAATCTGACAATTATGCACAAAGTTTATGTTAGACCTGCAATCAAATGTAAATGCTGAAAAAAATAGACATTTTGAAATCATCTCCAAATCTATTTAAGCTAATGAACATTTATACGTTTACATCTGCATCTTACAGCTTAAAGGAATGCCTGAGACTTGTCAATGACACTTCATCCCGAGTGGTTGGACAAGCCTTCTTTAATGTGATCGAAGTTCCTTGCTTTGAGTTTTCATTTGAAGAGCAGTGTGTTGAGCGTCACTGGTATGGGGTGTAAGTATCAAATTCTAATTCTATCGAATTCCTTCCTTATACTCTGGCGTACAGTCTACAGTAGCCAAATTAATAGCCAAATTAATGCAGTTTTTACTCTTCTCTCCATCATAAAGGTGTAAAAAGTATGACCGAGTTCCTGTCGCAGTGATTAAAGAATCAATCCATTATGACTTTGGAGGCATTGATGTCATTGATGTATTGACTATCGCTCCTCCTAAGAAGAAACAATCAGACGAAGAAAAGCAGAACGCAACAACCTCTGAAAGCACAACGCAGTCATCATTCTCTGAATCAAAGACCGCCGCCCCTGAAGAGCCCTCGCTCACAAACGTGGTGACGGCTGCAGAGGATTTCATTAAAGTGCTCGCCACAGTCTCCACCTCTCAAAGCTCGTCCGCAGACGCAGGTAAAGGAGAAACTCAGATGTCAGAGAAGAAGAGGAAGAAAAATTCCAGCAAGAAGAAAAAAGAGAACAAGAAGAAAAGAGGAAAGGGTAAAGGCATGAAGAAGAATAAAAAACTTGGCGCCGTATTAAAGGTCGACGAAGGAACGACCGGAGCGCCGTCGACCGGTCAGACAGAGGAGGTCATGGGTAAGAACAACTTTGCGGAGGAAGCAGCGAAGATGAATCGGTTTAGAATAAAAGAAAACAATTTCATGAACAGCGAGCTAGACTCTGAAGGAAATTCTAATAAGATGATGAGAGATGATCCTCAGAGGACAGTGAATGATAATCAGGATGTTGTTACCATTACCACCTCAATAAAGACAGATAAAGAACCAGAGATTCTACAGCACAGACAAGCAAACGACACAGAGTTAGTCTCCACCTCGCCTACAGCTCACATTACCCCAGCTGTCCGTGATAAGACCAGAGCTAAGCTGAGACAAAGAGCCGGAAAGAAAAAGCAAAGAAAAAACAACCCTTCCACAGAAGCCAAGGAAGAAACTCTCTCGACTAGTCCGTCTGAAGGTGTCAGGCTCGTAACGTCAAAACCTGAGAGTCCAGCTGCCGCTGTAAGAAACGAGGTGATGCAAAGTACAATGCACACGGAAGAAAAGGCACCTTTAGTCACTACTACACAAAAAACACCCATTGTTAGAACCAAAAAGCCAAGTTCGAGGCAGAGAGAAGGAAGAAAGAGAATGAGGAAAATCATTGCTTCCTCTACAGAAGAAGCTCCTCGTGATATCAGCTCTCAGGATCCACTATTGTTCACAGGTTCAGCAACTGTCGGGCCAACCGATGTACTAGAGCGACTGGGATTGGACCGACTTGAAAACCCAACAGAAAGTTTGAAGGACACCAATGGTAGAAAGAACAAAAGAAGGCGTGTAATCAAAATCTGCTATGAAGCCGTTTTGCCTGACGTTGCAGACACGACACCCCTCCCGACTCTGATCGAAAAGGACACTGAGTTTCAGTTGAAGGATCTTGAGATGAACACAGCACCAATGTTTCCTCCCCTACAGACTAACACTCCATCCACGGCAACCCGCAGACCTAGGAACACGAAAATGAAGAGAAGCAGGGAGCGAGGAAATCGAGAAAAGCGTGGAAAAGTTAAGAGAGAATGAAACTCAAGAAGCTCCGCATGGTGCGACCAAATGGTTTTTTATCTTCTAGGCTGCCATATGATATTGTTTTAATAAGCAGCATGTTTTTACCTACTCTGTTTTTATAGCTCCGTTGATGGTAGACTGACAGATCAGATCAATTTTATGAAGCATGTGTTTCTCGACATGATTGCTAAATAAAGTAAATAAGAGCACTGGTGGTCCTTCCATAGCATGGTTTGAGAAAACATTCCTCTTCTTCACAGTATGGGTTTTGTTCTTAATAAACAAAAAGTTAAGTGTTCCTCCAGGTAACCTGATTATTTACAGCATTTGCCCTTCTGTATAAAAAAACCCTATCTGCAGTGCACTGAGTCCATTTATGATAGTCTTTGTTCTTGCACAGACTTTGCCAGTGCACTTAAGCAGAAAGGGTCACATTCTTCTCAAAGGATAATCTGCTTTACCTCACCCTCCCTCCGACATTAAATGAGTATTGTAACACTGGACTCAAATCTCCTGTCAGCTGACCCTCACATGCTCTTGTTAGAAAGCAAGGCCTTAGTTTGCAGAATCGCAGTCTGAAGTTCTGATGCAAGCCACAGTGTTACAATAATGCATATGAAGTAGGAATTACTTAATGTAGAGGTTTGGACATGCATCATTAATCAATGTGTGAATTATGGGGTTCGGGGGATCTGACCTCCTAATCAGGACTTGAACTATAAAAGTTGGGGTCACTGAAAATATATATGTTTCAACAGGGTTTTCAAACATGTTCTCTTGGAATATATACACTACTCAAGGGAGCCCAATGTGGGATTTCCTTTATTCAAATGAGGGCCCACCCAAATTTATTCATATTATGGCCTGAGCCGAACATCACACCATTTTGCATCACACCAACTTCCTCCTCCGCGACCCCGCTGTACTCAGCAGTTTCAGAACGAGTGTGTGAAAACAATGTGGAGTCTTATACCAGCTCCCTGGTTCCCAGACATGGAATAATAACCCAGCATTCAGAGGGTGTAGACGTTATGAAATAATATACATTCCAAAAACAGTACAATAGTATCACTTACAAAGCATAAAAGACAATTCACGATTGATTCCGCAGCGTTTCGTGCTGTTACGGTCATGGAAATGGGGTTAAGAGGGCGGGACCGTGTTCCCATGAGAACAAGAGGCTTTTGCTGAGTAACTGCACGTTCTGTCCGCATGCTGAGACGAGACGTGACGGGTCATCTAAGACCACAGAGGAACTCCAATGAATGTCAAGCGGCTAAAAAGTATGAAAAGTGGCTAAATAACTAATCTGACTATGTTTGGTTTAAAGCAAGGTAATGTTTATGAGCTTTACATTTTTAAGCAGAATATTTTAATGGCAAAACAATGCTTCCCTCACAGCATTAACACATGTTTTATACTCAGGGCTGAACATTTCTGGTTGCTAGGCATTTTTCCTTGAGATGCCAATCATGCATGAGGAGGAAACATTGGGCCGTGAGCAGCTATAGAGTCTGAAACTTGAAGCAAGTGCAAAAATCAGTTGAACGATTGTCATTTACACTATAAATACACAGAAAAGTAACACTTGTTTTTTAATACCTTTCAATACTATACTATTTTTCGTTTTTGGAGGAAAACAAGGTGTCAAGACCTTTTTACTAACCTCAACCATGTTTGACAAAATAATTTATTAAGGTATCGTTTTCCACTCTTGGCATGACAACGCTGGCAGTAGTTTGCTTTTCAATTTTCAATAGATATCATCCTTGGTTTCAGAGAGAACCAGAAAAACCAGAAGAGCTATTTGGTCATTTCCTCACACACCCACACTTTAGGAATAAAAATACAGTTTAGCAAAAGTGAAAACTGGGTCTAGTTATGGATATACCAGCATGGATATACTGGCAATTCAAAAATATCAGTTTAAATGCACACGATTTTCTTTTATCCATGAAACAGAGGTAAATGTTTGAAGAATATCCTTGCTGTTCTTACAATTAAAGTGAATAAGGATTGAAGCCGTCAAGCTCCAAAATAACACAAAAGCATCATAAACGTATGTCATAAAACACTGCACTATAGTTCAAGTCTTCAGAAGTAAAATAAGTGTTAAGTAAGTCAATAACTTACTTAATCGTGAAGTTTGATTAAAGCCATTGATGCAATGTAAACCATTAATTCGGAGCTGCAAATTCAAAGCTAAAGTCAGCACTGATTCTTTGTAAATGTTTATCAATATGTCAAGCCAAATAAATCACAGTAATACCGCATTTCGCAAGGCTGATGTTTTTAATATTTAAGTAAAACAGCACCAAGAGTATTAAGAACTTTTTCTAAAAATCCCAATTTTTGTCTATCTTGTAACTTTTTTCTATATAATTATTTTATAGATTTATTTATTTTTGTACTTCAAATTCTGTACTTCATCACTGTCACAGTGTGTCGAGATGCTTGATCCCATTTATCTTGATCCCGTTACATCGACTGCTCCACTGGCATGATCTCAATGTCCCCAATCTACACAAAAGGAAGGAAAAACTATTATATTAAACAATTCAGCCATTAAATCAAGATATTACCTAAAAAATACAATTCAGAAATTTTCCAATGCTGCTCAAATTGATTCTACATCAGTATAAACCAACAAAGAACAGCAATTAGTCTAATTTCTGACAAATTCTTATCACCAAAATATCCCATTCATCTCATAATCAGAACATTGATTAAGTGACAGCAAACATTAACAGCACAACAGTTTCTCCAGTGATGGATGATGCTTACTTGAACATGAGGAGGAGCACTCAGGACATACAACACTGCGTTTGCGATGTCAACTGCTTGTAGGCACTGTAAATATGATATTTAAACACATAAATGATGACCTTCAACATATTGTGTATAGTAAGGAATCATTGTCTATACCTTTACACTTTTGTAGGTAGCAACAGCTATTTCTGGGTTTTCGCTAAAGAGTCGGTAGGCAAATTCTGTCTCCACTAAGCCAGGAGAAATACACTGTTAAAGAAAGAGCACACTTAGTACCAACTTGCAATAGGACATGCAGTAATCATATTACATAAATAAAGTGTTCAACAGAAGCACATCTTGATCCTCCTGCTCTTACTGTGGCACGTATGTGGGTTTTGGCCTCTCGTAACTCTTGCCTCAAACCTTCTGTGAGAGCCGTCACTGCATATTTGCTGGCAGTGTAGAAGTGTGCATCAGCATTGTTGACGACCCGGTGTCCACAAATACTAAAACATGTATTTTAAGACATTAAGTGTGTCTGAACATAGACAGGAAAATGAGTACACAGAACAAAGGTGCAATAAAATACACCGGTACCTGTTGATATTAATGATATGACCATCATCAACTTTTCTTTCTTTCATGGACTGGTAAGCCTCACGGGTGCACACTGACAGGGCAATGACATTCACCTGCAAAATGTGAACATTTGGCCATGACTAGTATGACTCATTCTGCATGTTAGATAAGAAAAACTGCTTATTTGAGTTACATACTTCCATTATAGTTCTCCAGGCACTGGTTTTGCCGCTCAGTAGAGGCTCTGGGAGAGCCAAACCAGCATTATTAATGCACACGTCAATGCCCTGATGTTGAACTTTGATCCAGGAGAACATGGATAACATGTCGTCTTCTACAGACAGATCACATTTGTATGGGATCAGAGTGCCGCTGAATCCACTACTGACACATTCTGCTGCCAGTTTCTGTGAAAGGAAAGAGTACTTTGAGATTCACATTTCACAAAGCTCAAAAACCATTGGCAGAGGGTTATAAACGTATTATTGCTACGGCTCTTGTATCATAATTTGTCAGAATGCAATATACACTGCATCATTCTTGTTAACAGGGATAGTTCACCACAAAATGAAAATTCTCTCATCATTTACTCCCCTTCAAGTTGGAAATAAGTTTCTTTCTTCTGTTGAACATATTTTGAAAAATGTGTGTAACCAAACAGTTGATGAACCATTTAACTTCCAAAGTTTTTTTCCCTTACAATAAAGTCAATGGGGTCCATCAAACAACGTTGTAACCCATATTCTTCTTCAAAAAAAAAAATCTTCATTTATGTTAAAAAAAAGAAGGTTAGGAACTACTTGAGGGCAAGTAAACATTGACAGAATTTAAAATTTTAGTGAACTATTTATTTAATCTTTGCTACAGAGGGATAGACGCTGCGTTCACAGCTTCAAGATATACATCATTTACATTTATTTCTTTTTAGCAGACATTTCCATCCAAAACACTTGCTAATGAAGCCTGAGATGCATGGCCTAAAGATCTCAAAAACGGACTTACTTAATTGAATGTCCCCTTTTGTTTTCCAAGAAACCATACAGATTTCATATAACATGAGAGTGATAAATTATTATTCAGTTATACTGAATCAATAGAGACCAATACAGGCTGTGGACTATCTCTTTATAAACCGTCTGCTCGTGTTTCGTTCGAGTTGCTGCATAAATTTCCTCACATTATTTCGTTTTTTTTTCTTCTGCAGCATAATATGCCGCTTTATTCGTCATAGCTGTATAATTACCTGAATTTGCTCCACATTTCTGGCACAGCCGACCACCTTCATTCCATGCTGGACAAGAGACTTTGCGATTGCAGCTCCGATTCCCACTGAAGCTCCAGTGACTAGAGCAACCCTGCCTCTCCAGCGATCCATGTTACAAGTTCATAAAACTCTTACAGAAAATCTGCTGCCAGTGATCTTCACTGCAATCCCCTAAATAAACGAACACACCCTGACGAACTGGCCAATAGCAATGCACTTCCTATTCTACTAGCTATGCTGCATTACAGCACCTGATTTTTTTACTCCAAGATTTCGCAGTCGCATTTAATCCAACGACCCCGCATTATTTGCAAGAGCTTTAATTTGGTTTTTATCACGAAACAAAATTTAAAAAAAATAACAGCAAATCAAAATAAAACACTTCTGGCGTGTTTAGATATTCTTGCAGTGGATTCTAAGTGACAACGGTTAGGCTACTTCTGTTTGAAATGACCCTAAAACGTCCAGTCTCTACTTTCCCTCTGGGTCAATACTTAAGAACTCTTTAAAGGGATAGTTCACCTAAAAATAAAAATTCTGTCATCATTTACTTACCATCCACTTGTTTCAAACCTGTATGAGCTTCTTTCTTGTGCTGAACACTAAAGAATGTTGGTAAACAAACAGTTTACTTCCATATATATTTTTTTTGCATATATGGAAGTCAATGGCAACCGTTAACTGTTTGGTTACCAACATTCTTCAGAATTTCTTCAACAGCTGAAAGAAATACATACAGGTTTGAAGCAATTTGAGGGTGAGGAAATCCCTCTATATCTTTAAAATAAAAATATGGATATGCAGGTTCAAATACATAAAGCCATGTTTGGTAAGTAATAAAAAGTGACTTTTTAGTTTTTATTATATCTGCTCTCTATTGTATAGTTGGCACTTTTTAAACATAAAACCAGAGAGAGCTATTAAGCACCTAAAGTGTCTCAAAATAGTTAACACTAGTACATTAAAATTTTAATAATTTCAGTCACAATGAAAAAAAGTAAACATCATGATGAAACAGAACAGTGTTTTGTGTTCTTACGAATGCATTTCAAAAGATTTAAAGACTTGACATTTACTATTTACAACATAGGAATATATTGGACATTCCTGGTCTCTGATTGTGTGCAAACTTTTATGATGTTTGTTAAAGACGTTATGTCAGAGATGCTTCATTCTCTTTCTCTGTACAGTTTATGTCAGCTGCTCCACAGGCCTCATCTGAATGTCACCAATCTACAGAGAGCAAAGGAAAGTCAGTTTTCTATTTCTAAAAAAGTTCATGGTTAGGCCAATATAATAAAGCCAGCAGACATTAACAGCGCAATAGTTTCTCCAGTGATGGATGATGCTTACTTGAACATGATCAGGAGCACTCAAGACATACAACACTGCGTTTGCAATGTCAACTGCTTGCAGGCACTGTAAATATAATTTAAAAATTTTAAAAGGTAAACAATGACCTACAACATGCTCTGTAGACAAGAAACAGGATTTGTATATACCTTTATGCTTTTATAGGTAGCAGCAGCCTTTTCTGGGTTTTGACTAAAGAGCCGATAGGTTAACTCCGTCTCCACTAAACCAGGAGATATAGACTGTAATAAAAGAATTCTTAGTGCCAACAAGTGTTTAGACATGTTTTATTTTGAATAATCATATTACTTCTTTATCCTTCTGCTCTTACTGTGGCACGTATGTGGGTTTTGGCCTCTCGTAACTCTTGCCGGAGACCTTCTGTAAGAGCTGTCACTGCATATTTGGTAGCGGTGTAGAAGTGTAAATCAGCATTGTGGAGGACACGATGTCCACACATACTAAAACATAGTAAGATATTTAAAGATATTGAATTGCTTGGTGCATGGCACAGGTAGCAATATAAATATGTCTAAAAATAAAACATTACAGTACCCATTAATATTAATGATATGACCATCATCAACTTTTCTTTCTTTCATGGACTGGTAAGCCTCACGGCCGCACACTGACAAGGCAATGACATTCACCTGCAAAATTTGAAGACAACTACCATCACACAATCTCTAGCTGCATGTTTTCAGAACAGAAATGCATACTTATTTATTCTGTGATTCACATACATCCATCATAGTCCTCCAGCCACTGGTTTTGCCGCTCAGTAGAGGCTCTGGGAGAGCCAAACCAGCATTATTAATGCACACGTCAATGCCCTGATGTTGAACTTTGATCCAGGAGAACATGGATAACATGTCGTCCTGTACAGACAGATCACATTTGTATGGGATCAGAGTGCCGCTGAATCCACTACTGACACATTCTGCTGCCAATTTCTGTGAAAGGAAAGAGTACTTTGAGATTTGCATTTCATGAAGGGTGCAACGCTCAAAAAATGGGCAGCAGGACAGCAAGTAATGGCAGACCAAGCAAAACATGTGAAACTGACACTGCCTCATTGGTATAATTAAGTTAATTATTATACCAATATTTAGAACTTTGTCCTTATGGACACATTGTTCCCGGAGACATGAAGAAAGATGAAATGGTAAGGCATTTCAAACATTAAGATTGCATTATTAATATGTGATCAAACAGAGATCTCAATGACCGGTGTGTAAATGATGACAGTAATTTCTGACACCATTTACTTACCCTTATGTTCTTCCAAACCTTTACGACTTTTTATTGCTTGAAACATTAAGTGAGAATTAATGTGCAGGCTGCCCTTTTCAATAGACAAAATAATTAGTAGGATGGTGCATTTCACAAGGTGCATGTCAAGTAAAGCAGCTTACATTCATGGCCAAAACTTTTGGCCATGACTGTATATAATGAATCAATGGTGACCAACACACACTTTAGACTATCTCTATACAGGCATTTTCACTTTGTCTGTCCGTGTTTTGTCCTACGCGTATGAAAATGTTTTTTTTTCCCCCCGGCAGCATCTTAGGAAAACCTTTATTCCACTGCTACAAATGCATAGCCTACTGTAAATTACCTGATGTGGTTAGTAAGATACATGTATAAAATGTATGCAGTACATGGATAATTGTGCGTGCATCTATTAATCATTTAGAGTCTAATATCATCCCATAGATGCCAAGCAAAATAACTTACTCTGATTCTTCCTCAATATTTAATGCAAAGTACCATTGGTGCTTATTAAATTATTTCTCTAATACTAATTTGGTCTTCTTTTTTTTTACAACATACATAATAATAGTCATTAAAATAGTTATAAAAATTTAATAAACTTCATGATCAGACAGAGCAGTGTTCTGTGTTCTTGCTATTGCATTTCAAAGATTTGGAGTGCAGAAATTGTTTATGGGACTTTCTTGTGGCTTTTGTCAGCTCTACAGTTCATATTTTATACCATTCATGGGCTATTAATAAGATGATAAAGATGTCAGAGATTCTTCATCCTGTTTGTCTGTTCAGTTTATGTCAGCTGCTCCACAGGCCTCATCTGAATGTCACCAATCTAGAGGTGGGAACGGAAAACCATTAAGAATTTAATCATGAGATCTTTAAGTAAATACCTACCATACACTGCTCAAACTGATTATAAACTGCCTGTATAAATGAACAATGTTAGCAAAAACTAACAACACAATATTGTTTTCTCCAGTGATGGATGATGCTTACTTGAACATGATCAGGAGCACTCAGGACATACACCACTGCGTTTGCGATGTCAGCTGCTTGTAGGCACTGAAAATATGATATTTCAATATTTAAACATTAAATGATGATCTACAACAATGTATAGAAAGGAATCAGTATTTGTCTATACCTTTATACTTTTATAAGTAGCAGCAGCCTTTTCTGGGTTTTCACTAAAGAGTCGGTAGGCAAATTCTGTCTCCACTAAGCCAGGAGAAATACACTGTTAAAGAAAGAGCACACAAGAGCCAACAAGTCTGTTACGGCTTTCCTTTAAGCCGTTGTTACTGATAACAGGAGCGAGCACGTATCTAACCCGTGCAAAAACAGTGTCCATGCATACTGACGTAGATCCAAGCAGAATGTCTTTATTTTGTGCAAGTGAATAAACAAAGCCTCAATCTTTGTCTCTCCTTCCTTCGTGGTCATAAACATGTACACATAAAGTGCATATCTTAAACACAGCACATATCCACATACTGCACAATCTACATTCTTGCAAGTTACCCTTTAGCACGGTCAAAAACCGTGTGCTTCCCCATTGCCAACGCCGCCTGGCTCTAGTTTACACAGGTGCTCTAATTATACTATGGTTTAGCACCACACAGTGGACAACAAAATTTCTACAATACAGAAAATGGCTCCTACATGTCTTTGGACATGCAGTAATCATATTACATAAATAAAGTGTTCAACAGAAGCACATCTTGATCCTCCTGCTCTTACTGTGGCACGTATGTGGGTTTTGGCCTCTCGTAACTCTTTGTCTTTGGACATGCAGTAATCATAGTACATAAATAAAGTGTTCAACAGAAGCACATCTTGATCCTCCTGCTCTTACTGTGGCACGTATGTGGGTTTTGGCCTCTCGTAACTCTTGCCTCAAACCTTCTGTGAGAGCCGTCACTGCATATTTGCTGGCAGAAGTGTGCATCAGCATTGTTGACGACTCGGTATCCACTCATGCTAAAACACACAAATACATGAAATGTTTTGTTGACCCTGTAAAGGCTGGAATCTGAATACAGGCAAAAAAAAGTAAATGACATTCACCTAAACAAAAAGTAAAACTCTTTATTTCATAAATTGGTTTAGTCCGAGCAGTTTCAGCAACTCACTGACACTGACTCGGTTGATGGCAGAAACGAACCTCTGTCGAAGCGCTGGTCAGAATATGCATAAAACAGCTTTTACAACCCCATTGCAAATGTTTTTTTTTTAAAGTATAATTAAGGCAAAATAACAAACCATCAAATACCATCAAATACGTGTCTGTATAGGCCCTATGTGTTCTTCATTTGCGGGGTTTGTTTTGTTTTGTTTTATGGATGGCTCGTCTAAAACCGCCAAGAGTTCGCCGCTAGGGGGCGTTCTCATTCATGGGTTCACAGAGATCGCCCCTCAACGGCAAACCATTGAACTTTTGAAACATTTCACTCAAAAGTTCATTGAGCACATTGAGCACTCCTTACTGAAATCACGTGATTTTGACAGTTTGATAGGCGCCCCGAACCATGGGTTCGAAACAAATGATTTCCAAAAGTTTCGAAGCTTCACGAAACAGGGATTCAAAAACAGCCATCACTAGATTGAAATGAGCTATTGGAAAGAACCGATTCGCAAAAATGAGTCGATGTCTTGAGTCGCTACAGTGTTACTTACGTCCATCATAGTCTTCCAGCCACTGGTTTTGCCGCTCAACAGAGGCTCTGGGAGAGCCAAACCACCAGCATTATTAATGCACACTTCAACGCCTTGGTGAACAATCCAAATTATCACATCTGATCACATTTATATGGGATCTATATGGGAAAATGCTCCTATATGGTCCAGGTCACTCGTAAACACACCCACGTACAGTACACGTTCAGCATTGTTTTTTATTTTTTTTGTTTTGTTTCTGTTTCCAATATAATTATGCTAGATATCTGTTTTAATGGGAGGGAGGTAGCAACATCTGACAGGGTAGCACAAATCGTCAGAACACCGGCACATAAACTTTCACTTCTCGCAAGTGTATGCTATAACGGCGCATTACCTCAATTTGCTCCACATTTCTGGCACAGCCGACCACCTTCATTCCATGCTGGACAAGAGACTTTGCGATTGCAGCTCCGATTCCCACTGAAGCTCCAGTGACTAGAGCAACCCTGCCTCTCCAGCGATCCATGTTACTTGTTACTCTCACGAAGATCAAGTGCTGGGCAGCTGACTGTGTGGTCGCATTGATCAGGGTTGCCAGGTCCAGGTCACTCGTAAACACACCCTCGTACAGTACACGTTCAGCATTGTTTTTGTTTTTTCTGTTTTTATCAATTGATATGATTTTAGTGATTTTAGCTAGGCTTAATTGACTGTAGGCCCATTATATATATTCTATTAAGCCTATTTATTTTATTTGGTACGTATTTGTTACTCTCTTTTCAATATAAAAAAAATAAAAAAATAAAACAAAATATAAATTCTGATAGCTAATAGTCTTTTTAATAGTTTGTAATGAAAAGAGGTACAGTTGGTATGATTATGCTTATGAATGAATGAATGAATTAATATGCTTTTCCAAGTCTTTATGATGTTGTCTCCCTCTCAAAATAAAGTTTTTATTATTTGAATTTAAAATTCTTATAGTTCCCATTTCCTTCTCTCCATCTCAGTTCTCCTTTCGGTTGCCAGATATTTTGATACCAATAAGAAATCGCCTAACTTGTTATGTCAATGAATAATCTGTCTTCTGAGAATTTGGCCAATGAGAACACACTTCCTTCTTATCCCACAAGGCTGTAACAGGTGCAATAAATAGAATAGTAAAAAGTGTTCAGCCTGTAAAATTGTGGAGGGTTAGTTATTCATTATACACTGAAACAAACAATCATTGTATGACCATGTGTTTGTTTGTTTGTCAAATTTCTTTTTATTGTTTTATAATTTGGATCGAACATTTACAAATGCAGAAAAACAAGAATACAGTAATTAGAATGATAAAAATCATTAAGACCAGTTCTCAAAGTATTGTCTCATAATATCACATGAGCAACCATGTTCCTCTATATGCTGTATAATGTTATACAATGTCCTTTTGTGCTTGTTAATTTAAACTTTCCACAAATCAAGCATTCTACATTCTTGTAACAGGGAATATTGTGCAGTAACGGTTGCACGCAAAATTTGGGACAGAGTTAAATGTTTTTTTTTTTCACAACAGTTAATTCAGTGAAAGTTCAATGGATGTCAAAATTCAGATTTTTATAGAATTAATTTTCATTGGGTACAGATAGAGAAATTTGAGAAGACCTCAGACGTTGGATGTGGAGAGTTGACTACCTGCCTTTCATACTAGATAATTTTATGCTACATACATTGTGAAGCCACACATGGCTAAACGATTATAAAGTTTGATTTGCCATGAATTATTGATGAATGATAAATAACTTGCTTCAGAGCAAAACCCCAAATAGATAACCATAAGTTAGACAGTGAGAACATAGAAGGATGTGAAAACAGAGCTGACCATTAAGGCAGTGCTAACACAAAAAACATAACTCCTAGAATAATAAACTTCACGTCCAGCCCGCAGCTGAATGGGCCGGTATGTGTTTACCATGGCAGTCCCGTCAGAAAACGTCAGGGTTGAAAATGCAGAAAGCTGCAAGACAAAGATAAAATTGTTTTCTTTTATTCTTATGATGTGTTAAAGTTTCACTTGTTTATACACAAAACAAATGACCTGTTCCTTGCTGAGTGGTATCGCTTTCTCAAATATTGTCCAGACCACAGCTTCAGAGCAGCCTGGTGTGGTGAGGGACCCCTGGTAGCGGAAGTACCTCTCCAATTCATTATGGGGGAGAATGAGCATGTCTAATGATACAGCTGACAGCGTTCCATTAGTGCCTAAAAAAAGATGTTTTACAAGTTGTCATGAAGTTCCCGTTCTTTGTTCTAAGTATAGCCTGTCTAAATAATAATACATTATCAAACAGCTTCCTCCCGTATTTGAGATATTGCGACCTTGAGTGACTATGTTTAGCACTGCTGTATATCAAACAAAAAGCAATAAATTAACATTTTTATTAAACCTTAGAGGTATATAAAATAACCTTACCAGGATGTGTAATATTTTTCAGAGAATTTATGATGCCATCATATTTTTTATTGGCACTTTGTGACTCCTGTAAAATAAGATGCATGCGATAAAACGCTGTTTTGTTATCTGCAAGTAACAAACATTTAGAAAATGGGGTTTTACCTCATAAAAAAATCCAAGAACAGCAACTCCAGACGTGTCATTAATGGCCTGTTCCACAGAGTTGTACTTTTCTTTTATATGTACAATGTGAAGCTGTTAAAGATACAAAATGCATCCTTAGTTTCTTATCGATTCACAGATAAATGTGGGAATAAAACATGTCTGTCCACCTTATTTTGCGATGTTTCCACATAAATAAAGCTATTTCCAAATAAAGCTATTTTCTGTGTGAATTTGCGCCACTTGCGATTCATTAGCCGCTGACAAAGTGCAGTAACCGGTAACTATTTGTGCTATAAACCAGAGTGTTTACGAATATGTTAATAAATTAAAATAGTATGATAACAAATAGCACTTTGCAATATCAAGCAGCATAACGGATTATTTTTGTAGAGCTAAAATGACTGAAAGCGGATGATACCGGAAGCCATGCACACTCAATTTACAAAATGGACGTGCCTGCTCTTACATTAAAAATAAGATGGATATCTCAATAGCCTGTTACCTCCATAGGATATTTCTCTCCATCTATAGTATGTTCTGATCCAGGTCCACCGTTCTTGCCCCAGTGCAGGTGAAGCTGCTGAGCTTTGTAATTGGCTCCTAAATTGGCTCCACTAATTGCTGCTCTGTCTGGCAGATTAACTTGCACTACAGATGATAAAATACATGGCGAAAATGGGTTATAAAGTGAAATTGATATACAGTTGCCAATAATGGGTAAAGGATATTCGCCATTTAAATGTAGGCTATACTTAAGAGTAACTTACCTGTGTGTCCATTGTTTGTAATGAGAGTATTGATTGTATCTTGGTAGCCTGTAAACTGCACTGGGGTTAGATGACTGTCAAAGACAGTTTTCTTTGTTATAATGTTAATGGGTGACTGTTTTGTATTTCCACAGGCTGTGGCTACTGATGCCCAGTCATCCGGTCCTATAAAAAAGTCATGCTGTTAATATAAATCATACAATATTGTTCAAAAGTTTGGTTTATTTAATGTCTTTCAAAGAAGTCTCTTTTGCTCATCAAGGATGCATTTTGTAAATCAAAATAGAGTAAAAACAGAAATTCTGTGTGGTTTATTAAAATGTAAAATAACTGTTTTCTATTGGAATATATTTTAAAATGACATTTATTCCTGTGATGGCAAAGCTGAATTTTCAGCATCATTACTCCAGTCTTCAGTGTCACATGATCCTTCAGAAATCATAATTTAATATAAAACACTGAACAAGGCACATGCTCACCTATGCATGAATGATTGTTGCAAGATACTTGAGACTGATAGCACCAATCTGAAAGGAAACCAAGTTGACTTATTGCAAACTAATTTATATGTAGTGTAATATATTAATCACATTTAATTGATTGCACATGTACATGAAAACAGACAATGACCAATGTATGTTTTCTATATTTAGGTCAGTCAGTTAAGAAGATTTTAACTGCTCATCTAAAACCTTCAAAGGCGTTTAATTCCGTGTTTTAAATCTGCTTATACACAAATTTATTATTTTATGCAATAATGTTGTATTAATTTCAATCTTACAAATCAAAAATCAACAACTCTCATTATCAGATTCTCATAAATCTTGATGCACTTAGTAAACGTATCATTCTCGCAGGTCTTATCCTAAAATTAACATCTAAAATGATATATTGATGGGCTACCTAAATTCAGCAGCATCAGGTTTAACAGTAAATCTGTTTTTATGATAAATAAGATGACATTTACACAACTGAACACACTTACCTGCACTTGAAGCAAACCTGCATAAAATAGCAAGTACAGAAAAACAGAGCACATTCATCTTTAGTATTTGGATTTTAAAAAATCCACCTGAATGATCAATCCAGCTAAGGAACAGGGGAATGTATTTTATGATAGGATACTTTGGAGGTGCATTTTATAAGAGCACAGTGACCCTCCCTTTCACGTGTTACTGCACAAAACCAATTAAACTCATTTCTATTAGAATGTATCATATATTCTTCTTACTTGGGAGTAATTTAGTGTGTCCAATGTACTCTAATCTAGTCATGATTACAAAGATCTTCTCCACCCATAACAAACTTTCACTTGTTTTCAAATAACACATATTATCAGTTATTATCAGTTATCAGCTTAGCACTAACTAATGAATAATGTGGTCTCCACCTTTGGAGCAGCAAGCAAACGTGACAACAGTTAAATGAAGTGACTGACAACATAATAAAAAAAGTTACATTTCATTACCAGGTTTTGAGCATAATGTAACATTTAAATACACCTGTGGCTGTGAATAAAATGTATGGCAGATCGCTAGTTACAGACTCTGATTTGAAATAGTCACGCCATCTAGTGGTGACTCTGAGACAGCATATTTGGGGTCATAAAACATTTAGACTCTACCTAAAATCCTGACTTGGCCGGGATTTCCAAATTGCCTAAAAAAATTCTCTTTTTTTCATATTGCTGTCCTCATACCGTAGGCGTGTTTATAATGGTTTGACCGTAGGTAGATTCCACCTTCTCGCACGCCACAATAGGTTGATTATATAGGCCTACAATACCTGCACGCTATTGGTCAAACTACTTTTTAATCATTACCATCACCAAGCATGAAAAAGATAGGAAAACAAAGCCAAAACCGGACTTTTCAGCCAATTTAGAAATCCCGGCCAAGTCATGTACGTGAAAACGAGGATGTATGGCGACCCTATTTAAAATACAGCAACAAACAGGGATGTAAGGCTAAAGATTAAGCTAATAGTGATGTAAAAGTTTTCTGTTCAAACATAATTTATGGGAACTTAAATGACAATTTATTGATTGATGTTGATTGTATTTTAAATGTCTGAAATCTTTGACTGAATCTTCATAAATAAAAATAAAAATTTATTTAATGACTATAAAATGCAGCTACAATGAAGGCATTTAGCTTGTCTTACAAACTAAAGGCAAAGATGATAATTGAATTAACCCTAATCTAAACCTGTCTGGATAATACCCATAGTTTCAGGCAGTTAGTTAAAAGACGCTATCTATACCATGGTACTTATTTAAGGACTTAATCTTGTTTTGTACAGAAATAGGTGTAGAAAGCATGTCCTCAGCCCCTCTTGCTTGAACATTGAGAATACATTTTATAGGACACAGTTGTTAGCACAGAAACAGCTGTAAAACACTATAAAGTTCATGGTGGAGTTGATAATGGATACATTGGTCTCAGTGGATTGCATAATGAGTGATTTGTGTGTCTGATAAAAGGGAGGCAAACAATGTCCTCTTGATTTGACCTTTAGATGCAACCTTCAGCTTTCATAAGCTCTGACGTTAGTGTATCACACACACATGCCGGATATGCAAGCTGCTGCAAATGTTTTGAAATAAAGTGATTTATTTTTTTTCAGCTTCGGGAACTTTTATGTCTCGGGTATTGATTTTTATTACAACTGATAGATCTTCAAATGACAACTCTTTTCTTTTTGATATATGAAGGTCACATATAACAAATGAACTGGCTTAAACTTGTAATCATGCCACTATCACTGAGGTGCCCAAACTTTGCATTATGAAAAAAAGAAATTCACTTCCGGTATATTCTCTAAAGTTCAAAGCAAAAATAAAACAAAAAGTGCTAAAACACAAAGAGAAATTAGAAATGAAGATGGCATTGTCCCTCCTATTTTTATGGCATAATATGGCAAGGAGAGCCAAATCAAAGGTCATCTTGGGCCAACTTTGGCCCGCGGGCCCTAGTTTAGGCATCTCTGTGCTATCATTTTTTTTTTTAACTATGTTTGCATACCTTTTATGTGTAGAGTTTATTGTTTTACCCTTGGCACAAACACAAATGTGCAATCATAAAATATTATATAATTTAAGAGTAAAAAAAATGTTACTATATTTCAAAAGAAAAAATTAACTACGACTTTTGCCTCAATAAACTCCTAATTTGCTGCTCATTAATAGTTAGCAAGGTAGTTGTTAAGTTTAGGTATTGGGTAGGATTAGGGATGTAGAACATGGTCATGCAGAATAGGCACTAATAAACAGCCAGTATGTTAATAATAGGCATGCTAATAAGCAACTAGTTAATAGCGAGAACTGGTCCCTATACTAAAGTGTTACTGTGAACTGCCAGCCATGAAATTAGCAAGCAGGAAAAAGGCAATTTTGCTCCAAAAATGTTTGAAATGTTTTTCATAACAGTCATTAAGAACACTATTGAACATAATACATTACATGAGATGAGCTGGAAATGACACAGTGGAAATGATCATGACTAAACTAAACTAAACTAAACTAAACTAAACTAAACTAAAATAAAATAAAATAAAATAAAATAAAGACAATTATCCTGTGGTTCATGTATACACACACAGTTGGGACATTATTATTAGACAAATTAAATAAACTAGTGAAAATGTAAACAAAAAAAACTTCACCAGCGCTAAAACTGCCAATATTTGAATAATCACCCAGTTACGTATCATGGGAGGTCTGTAAATCATGTTTGACTAGTTTTTTTTTTTACAACACTAGGTACATTATCATTGTACATCACAGAGAAGTGTCTGCACATCCCCCACTTCCGTCTGTGCGTGTCAAACGAGAGTTTGAGGTTTGGGTTGTCCATCTCGTGTACATCATGTTCAGGAGAATAAGAGAGCGGCCTCCTGTTTATCAAACTACCACGCACTCAGGGGAGACTGGGACTAAAGTGTTTAATTGAAGCATCGGAGGAAAGTGACACAGAAGAAAGAGTGTCTGATGCGACATTGTATTTGCTAATCTCACTTCACGTTATGCATATAATATTTCAAAAGATCTATAACTGTTTTACTTATCAGCATCTTAATGTACAATTAGCAAGCCATGATTTTGAATTACACTCGTCGCACATTTATATGACACAATACCACACCCTCATATTGGACTCAAATGATATGTAATATGCTGATGAAACAGTGTGGTTTTGTACAACATAGCAACCACCCCTCCCCCTCAGGAAAGAGCTCTACAAGTGCCGCCAACAGGATTATATTCAAGTTAATAGGAAGCTATTCATAAAAACACACACAAAACAAGTGTAACATCTTCCACCGATGATATTTTCTCACCGACCAGCACCGCTGTTTTTAAAATGATGGAATATCATGTTTTTAAAGCCACGCCGTCAGACTATGTGGAAGCCTGATGCAATCTGATCACATGTTTACTAGACTTCCTCTTTATTTCTTTGTGTGATTTTTATGTATGCTAAAGACCAAGTGCCTTTTCTCTCATTTCTGATCTGTCTTTTATCGGTTAAAATGCCCTTAAAAGGAATTGATTCGAGTCCGTCTTCGAACGAAACTCGCTGTAGTCCAATAGGCGTGCATTCGTGCTTCTTTAAGACAGCGACTGCAGGGCCTCTTCCTGTGGTTTGCACCATGTGGCCTAAAAAGTGTTAAAAGGCGACAACTTCTTTCTCTTTTAGCTGTTGTTTCCGGGATCAAGCAGGCAGAGAACTGGTAAGTCACTGCTCTTCAGTTTAATCTAAAACATTGGATAAATGTGACTATTTTTCTGGTTTTATGAACTTGGTTAAATGATAAAGGATGGTAAACTGCTTGATGTAAGTGAATGTAATTAGGTGAATTTGCTAGAACTTACTAATAGAAGTTAATCATTAACAAAAGTGAATACACTCAATTTTTTTTTATTAAAACGTCAATTCTTTTTTTTTTATTAGATCAAGCTTTAATAGTCAATTCCAATGGTTCACACTGAATCCATTTCACATACATTTTTTATACAAATCAGCAAAAGTGGAGGCATTATACATTGCTTTTTTTTTTTTTAGATTAGTTAATTACACATGTAATATTTAACTTTTAACTACAGCACAGGCAAAAAATAATGATTCTAAACTTTCTTATGATGTACAGTGACTCACTATGAACAATTCAAGCTGATGCAGCTGAACATCCAACCGACTTATTTAATTACATCATTTTAATCTAATTTTCATTTTAGGTTTAACAAATAGCTGTAAAACGAACATTCGGAGCACATGGAGATAAGAGGAAACGTGCAAAGAAAGGATTGGAGCTCGAAGAGAAGAGGCGGGAACATCAGTGCAGTCACTCATAAAGTAGACAGCACTACTAAAGGTCTCTACACAGTGTAGTGTTTCCTACTTTATGGATGAGTGTACTGTTTGCTGCGAAGGATGATCTTATGGAGAACCAAATGATGCTGAATCTGAATGTCTTGTTTATTAAATATGAATAAAGATGGTGTTTCAAGACTGATTGTAATGCAATAATGTTTTTGAGTGCATTCGTCTTTATATGTGCATGTTAACTTGTATCAAACAACTTTGAATTCATGAAACAGTAATAAAATGAAGCTGAACTGCGTAAGTGTGTGTAAAACATATAGTGCTGTTGTTAAACTAACACCAGTGCATTTGCTGCGCACAGGGAGGACATTAGATAAATAGCTCAGTATTGAAAAGAAGACACATAAAACAATATAAAACAATAATTCTTAAATTACCATTATCAGTCTTTTAAGGCTATAATGCACTAGCTGCTATCTAAAGCTCTTGTATAAATCAGAAATTAATTTCCTTTTATGTATTCAATTGATGCTAAGCATAGTGGAAAGGTCAAGTGCATTTAGAGACATGATACGTCATGCACATTACAGGAAACAAGACACGTTATATGTATAAAATTGAAAAAAAAAACCTGGAGCTGGAGTTGGATTCAGTAAAGTGGGTTCTATTCACAATCTGAGGTCACTCTCCTGTTCCTGATTTCTGATTGCTCAGTTCCTTTAGTCCCAAGGCAGGGCTTGCAAAACGTTTGATGGCACAAGACCTCGGTAACCATGTAGATCTCCCTGGATCAATATAAAACAGTCATTCTTTAACTTACGACCTTTACAAAAACGCATGCGTGGTAGACAGAGTCCTAATACTTACATAATAAAATCCATCACTGTCCATTTCTCCAAAAACATATATAATGTCTCCTGCACGAAAGGGAAGCTCATCCTAAAGAAGAAAACAACCAAAACACACAGATTTAAAATTCTATTTGATATTTTAAAATTCAATTATTGTATATGTATTTAATAGCTAGTTCAAGCAACTAGCTATCAATAAATCAATACATATCTAAGATGTGTGAATGAATGAATAAATGAATGAATGAATAGATAGATAGATAGAATATATATTGTTTGTATTATATTATAATATGCTGTCAATTAACAAATAGGATTTTTTTGTATTTTGTACGTATTTATTGGAAAAAGCAATAACCTCAATATCCATGTTTGGAGAACTTTCCCATGGGTCATAATCAAAAATGGCCACCATCCTGTGGACCTTCACACCATCCGGCACACTAGACGTTTCGCTGGGTGCTAAAATTAAAAGTATGAAGTAGTCACGATCCATACAAGTGTACTATTTTTCAAGAGCTTGTAACACTCCAAAGAGAAAGGAAAAATTGAAATAGCATCATATGACCCCTTTAAATATATGGCTAGGTTAATCAAACAAACAGAAAGATATAAATGTAAATGCTTGCCTATGGAAGGCGTCTCCTCTGGTAAAAACCCCTGCTGGAACAGATGGAGTTTGAGCTCTCCGTCTTCCACAGGAATCTCAGAAACCATGTTGCTCGGCACAAAACCGAAGCGTCCATCCGTCTCTCCGCTATAGAAGCCGTCAGCATCTTTATCTCCATATACCTACAAAAGAGCACATCACAGCATGAGCCAAGTAGGACAGAAATGATCTAAAGATCATGCGTTTCATGCATTTAGTAGGTTCATGTAAGATGCGAAAGTTAAATTTAACTTATTATGGAGTTCCGAATAATTGTTAATCAAGATACGAGAAGTAAATATAAAACCAAAAATAAATATCTTTACTTTAATGATCTGTCCTTGTTCAAAAGACAGTTCCTCCTCCATTGTTTCAGGGTTTGGTGACCTCACCGCAGGGTTGTATGAGAACAGAGCCACAAAGAGACGAATATTCGGTTCAAACATTTCTCTCTCGGATTCCCACTTCTCTGTATCTTCTGGTGTAGCAACCCTAAGACCATCTGGATACAGATAGACATCCAGCCCAATCATTCCAGACTTCTTCCTCTATGCCTGCGACTGTCCAACTGATGTCCCCTTAGTAGGCAGACAGGTGGTTAGCAAACACCCATATGCTCACTATAGTTTTAGCATTAAGAGCGATAGCCAGGCTAATCTGCCTCAGACTAATCCTCTTGGAGGAAATGAATCAGTTTTACCTGAAACATCCCCAACTAAAAACCTGACACGTCAAATGGTTATCAAGTCCATTTTTTAAGACAGTCTACGAAACTCTTTAGTGAATGAACAGATTTCACATCATGGTGTGAAAGGGGCTTGAAGCATTGAGGAACTGGAATAACACTCTGCCAGTGGATTTGGCCCAGTCCTGCTGCGCACAGTCCTGCCAATTAGCTGAGCCATCCGTTCTGAACTGTGCCAAGTAGAGCTAGCTGTTAAGCACATTATCGTCACGGAAGTAACCCTGCAAGTCCCTTTCACCTTTTCAGGACAATCCTTCGCAGTCAACAAAGGGTTTGCATGGGTCAACCTAAGGAAACCAAAAAACATTGTGGAGATATTGTATAAATGCCATGTTATGGGAGAGAACTTGACTAACTGTTCTACTGTTGACTGGTAAGGTAAAACAGCATCTATTCTATTCTATTCTGGAATTTTCTATTTGTATTTACAATATTCTTCACAATTCCATATTCTGACACACTTACTGAAGTGTTCATAACACTAGCTAATAGTCAAAAGTTATTTATTTATTTATTTATTTGCATGTTTTTGAAAAAAAAAATTTATCTTATGCTCACATATTTATTTTTTATATTCTTTATTTTATATAAGGTTGCATTTATTTGATCAAAAATATAAAAAAAACCAGTAATATTGTGAAATATTATTACAATTTAAAATAACTGTTTTCTACTGTAACATATTAGAATATAATTTATTTCTGTGATGAAAACGTTGAATTTTCAGTACCCATTACTCTAGTTTTCAGTGTGTCAGAAAAATAATACTTCAGAATTCTGAAATGTATTAAGATTTCATTATATATATATATATATATATATATATAAAACAAAAACGGCTTTTAACATTGATAATAAGAACAATTATTAGTACTTGAGCACAAATTATGATTGATAATAATTGAGCACCAAATCAACATTCTAGAATAATTTCTAAAAGATGACTGCAGCTTTGAATTACATGAATAAATTACATTTTAACATATAAAAAATAGCTCTTTGAAGTTGTAATATTATTTCAAAATATTACTGTTTTTACAGTATTTTGAGAGGCTTTCAGACTTGGTGAGCATAAGACACTTTTAAAAACATAAAAAAGTTCCAAATGTTTGTCAATTTTATCTATGGCGCTTATTAAATAATTATAGAGAACAATGAAAAAGAAAAAACCCATATAAGGGATACAAATACACTGAACAAAATTATAAACGCAACATTTTTGTTTTTGCCCCCATTTTTCATGAGCTGAACTCAAAGATCTAAGACTTTTTCTATGTACACAAAAGGCCTATTTCTCTCAAATATTGTTCACAAATCTGTTCAGGAGCACTTCTCCTTTGCCGAGATAATCCATCAACCTCACAGGTGTGGCATATCAAGAAGCTGATTAGACAGCATGATTATTGCAAAGGTGTGCCTTAGGCTGGCCACAATAAAAGACCACTCTAAAATGTGCAGTTTTATCACACAGCACAATGCCACAGATGTCGCACGTTTTGAGGGAGCGTGCAATTGGCATGCGGACTGCAGGAATGTGTGGGGTTATGGTATGGGCAGGCGTATGTTATGGACAACGAACACAGGTGCATTTTATTGATGGCATTTTGAATGCACAGAGATACCGTGACGAGATCCTGAGGCCCATTGTTGTGCCATTCATCCACGACCATCACCTCATGTTGCAGCATGATAATGCACGGCCCCATGTTGCAAGGATCTGTACACAATTCCTGGAAGCTGAAAACATCCCAGTTCTTGCATGGCCAGCATACTCACCGGACATGTCACCCATTGAGCATGTTTGGGATGCTCTGGATCGGCGTATACGACAACGTGTTCCAGTTCCTGCCAATATCCAGCAACTACGCACAGCCATTGAAGAGGAGTGGACCAACATTCCACAGGCACAATCAACAACCTGATCAACTCTATACGAAGGAGATGTGTTGCACTGCGTGAGGCAAATGGTGGTCACACCAGATACTGACTGGTTTTCGGACCCCCCCGGACCCCCCAATACAGTAAAACTGCACATTTTAGAGTGGCCTTTTATTGTGGCCAGCCTAAGGCACACCTGTGCAATAATCATGCTGTCTAATCAGCATCTTGATATGCCACACCTGTGAGGTGGATGGATTATCTCGGCAAAGGAGAAGTGCTCACTAACACAGATTTAGACAGATTTGTGAACAATATTTGAGAGAAATAGGCCTTTTGTGTACATAGAAAAAGTCTTAGATCTTTGAGTTCAGCTCATGAAAAATGGGGGCAAAAACAAAAGTGTTGCGTTTATAATTTTGTTCAGTTTAGCTAGTTTTGTAAAATGACTCATATGAAGATCCTAGTCGCTTGTCTGCTCCATCAGTCTGATATCTATAACCTTTCTAAGCATAGACAAAACATGAGACACATTATCCTAAATGTTACAATAATTGTGTCATCCCCAAAATCCTCCACTCTATACAGGAGGGGTGCTAGATATGGTAATGGGGTGACTCATTCTCCCATATTGCATTTGTTCTTAGAAGACCTCTGATGTGCCATCAACATCACTGCTGATATGTGGCCTCTTGACTCCCATATAAGGACTATTACATCATGAGTGAGGCACCTATATGGCAAGCCATTTTTACATTTATTCTTTAAACATTTCCTATTTTACGTTACTAGTTAGTAGTATCTACTTTACTGTAAGTTATTTAATAGTACTAGGATTAGACAAATATATATTTATGTGACACTCATAAAAGTATATATCTCAATTGTTACTATAAGCATTTAGAGAAAAGTAAAGACATAAAAGATGACAAGACATTAATAAACGTCTCCCACTCCAACTTAAAGACTCGACACAACAAGGTAGACTCAGACCCAATACTACTAATTATATTAACATTGTTACTTGTCACCATTGTAATAGTACTAGAATGTAGTTAATAAACAGTAAACTGAATAAATATTAGTCACTATTGGAATACATGTCAATATCAATATTGGACTAATTAAAAACGTTTACATTTTATTTTACGGTGTCCTTGTTACAGTGTAATTGTACATTTAAATACTGAGTAATAATAATTAACAACACTTACTGTACTTACTAAAGGAAATATGTACTTACCATAGGGTTGGGTTTAACTCAATTTAATTGAGTTTCTGACAAAATGTTTTATTTAATGATATAATTCTATTTATAAATGTCTATTTAAAAATATTTATTAATTTAAATTAATTCATTATTTAAAAATATGTATTAATTTAAATTAATTCATTATTTAAAAAATAATTTGAAATTAATATATGAAGTTTCATCCAGAGTTTTTGAATCTCTTGAATGAATGATTCAGACATCAAATACATTTAAAAGTCACTGTTCGCCACCTACTGGCATAATGTAACATATACAATCTTTATTTGAAACGTATCATTAGTTCCAAAGGCCAATTACCCATTTTGATCGAGGCTGCCACAACATCAGAGTCTATATCCGGACTAGAAACATTTATCCCAATACTTTCGTTATTATTTAAAGTTTGCAACACAGAAATGTAGCCTGCTGTGTAGACTGTTTGTGCATTAAACGTGCATACATATGAGCCTATAGCCTGTATTTTTGTATCCCATGTAATATTTGTACCAGACCTCAAAAGTAACCTGGGCCCAGGCGGCCCCCTGCTTCCGCGACCCATGGGTGATATATGCATAGTTTACTGTTAAAATAATAATAAAATAATAAATAATATTAAAATAAAATATTTAAATTATAATAAAATATGTAAAATGATAATGTAAATAATAAAGTTTTACCTTAAAAAAGTGCTAGTTACATACCAATAGACAAGGCCTAGTTAGTTTTAAGGAATAAATGTCGTACCAGCTTGCCATAGCACCCACGTTTAGAACCCTGACGTAGCCCTCCAGCGCGAGAGGAGGGGCGAGGGTGGCCCGTCGGCACGAGCGCAGACAGCAAGGAACAGCTGCAGAGGCTCTCGTTCATTGAATTGCACCGCATAGCTCATACAATATTACTGTTTTTCCCCAAAAAACAAATAATATCGTCCAAATCATAACATGGTTGACCGCGAGCAGCTGGTTCAAAAAGCCAGGCTGGCTGAGCAGGCAGAGAGATATGATGATATGGCAGCAGCCATGAAATCGGTAAGTCATACTTTCAATTTACCCTTGGGGTTTTATTTGTTTGATGGTTTAGTTTGACCAACGATCGCTAAATCTATCTATCTATCTACCTATTTAACAAAATACATAAATAATTAAAAAATATATAATTTTCGTATTATGCATACTATACGCTCGATTGACGGAAAAATGGTAGGCTAATTGTGAATGATCATATAGGTTGAGTTACAGTAAAATATGGCATGTAACGGGAGCCTTTAATATAGTGTCATATAATCATTTTTGGGGTGATGATCTATGATAAATCAGTGCTTTATTAATGAGAGTGCAGTGGATCGGGTGTAGACTGTCTGGATCTTGGGCGGTGCCTCCTGTCTTACCGAGCCCACAATCAAATGAATGAGACAACACATGACAAATAAAGATGTTTCAACATAGCTTTCAGCATTAATGAAATGAAAAAATAATGAAAAAAAGAAAATCAATATTTTGCACATTATTCTTTTTTTAAATCGTTGCTTTGTGTAACATACTGCACATTCATGCTCATAACACATAGTATTTGATTTTACACTAGAAACAGGCGTATTGTCATTGCTGTTCATCACCCAAGCATAGTGTAGTATAAATGTCATAAATGCATTAGATATTCTTCTTCCATCATCAGCATATATAAATTCCAACTGCCTTTATTTTTTGTTTTACTCACGCATCCTCACAATTTAGTTATGCCTTCGCATATT